TGCTTAGCAGCAAGTCTAGTGATCTACCTCTAAATATGTTATCTATTGTAGGTATAACTCTGCATTGAATATTAGAGAAGCCATAAAGATAAATAAAGTCAAATACCTCAGTAAAAGTATTCCTGAGGAAGCACTAATGCTATACTAGATTATGTAGGACAATGCACCCACAGTGGTTAACACATGAAAGAATGTTCCACATGTCATAAAAGACACATAATTCTGTTAATGAGCATGAAAAAGTTCTAGGAAAGACTTTTGACTAAAATCCAGGTTTATGGTTGGTGTCTAGTTGTCCCCCCAAAGCCTCATGCAGTTATGGGGCGCACTTCTAGAGTTTGTGATTAACTCATGATCCACTGGGATTATGTGTATGAGTGCTGCTGAGATTATGGCTGTGAGTGCTACACCCAGTTTGGGGTAGTCTGAAAGCAACGTAAGGGAGACAGACTTGCTCTCTGTTGCCATTGTTGCTGCTACTCCTCCCTTTTTGCTCTTGATGTTTTGCTATTTTCCACCGCCATGAACAGCTGCCCTCTGCCATGTGGCACTCCGCCTTGCAGCCAGCCAGAGTATGGACTGAAACCTCACTAATCTATGAGCCAAATAAGCCTTTCCTTCCTTCATTTTGGGTGTTGGGTATTTTGTCTCAGCAAAGAGAGAACAGTAACTGAGATACCAGGCATGATGGATTTTGCAGATGCCTGTAATCCCAACACTAGGCTGAGGCAGAAGGACTATTTTGAGTTAGAGGTCAGCCTAGGCTGCAGAGTGAAACCGTATCTCAAAAAACCAAAATCAAAACAAAACAACCACTTTCAGCTAAAAGACTGGGAAAAGATAGGCATGGATAATGAAGGAGGAACAATATTAACAGAGGCACACAGGCAAAAAAAACTCATAAGAGGTCAGAGAATTGTTGGTTAGTTCACATTTTTGCTACATACGAGAATACACAAAAAAGAGCAGACAGAGTAAATAATTCAGTCATGCTCCAGAGGACAGTGTTTCCCTCCCACAAAGATGGATAGCTTTGGCTTTAAAACATCTAGAAACTTAAGAAATCAATCTCTTCAATATGGACACAAGAAAACCTCAGCAAGGTTAAGTGTCCTGAATTCACAGACATGAGTTTAAAACTAAGTTCCTGTCTCCCAAGAATAAGATCAGGCATACAATTTAAGAAAATTATTTCAACAGTAGTGGATAGCATGAACTAGGGAGAAAAGAAATAAAATATAGCTTAGGAGTTAAAAGCAATGAGATGTAGTATAATTTTGAGTTCTACTATTCAGATGCAATGGTAATGTGTATACGAGTCTTAATCACTTTTATATGCCAAGCTGGAATCATCGGACAAGACCCTAACTTGACTATACAAACTTCCCTGAAGAAATCAAAAGAATGATGTCAACCACATCACTGCTACTTGTGCCAGGCCAACTCTTCATACAGAATAGATGATCACTGACATGATTTCAACAAATGAGCTAATTTCAACAACTGAATGGAAAAGCAATTTTCCAAAGAAAGCGAACTTCACTGCAAACTGTGTTCAATGTCATTTCTCTAATAACAACTAGGAGTCTAAGATTTTTCTAAAAGTCTAAAAAATCTCATTGTGCTACCTTAATGATTTAAGTTAACACACAATGCTATGGAAAAAGCTGAGGCATGTGATCAGAAAAGAGACAAGGCTGGTTTTTATGTGAGGTTCGTTGAAAAAGCCTCATTACTTTAGAGTCCTACCTTGTAATAATCACTAGCAGAACTACCTTTAGAAATGCCAGGGTGAATCCATTATATCTAAAATAAAAGAGCATAACATAATGCTTGTCTTCCTTGATGATCACCTCAAAAGACTTCAATGGTGCCTATTTTCTTTTAGCACACTGTCTGGATTGATCTTCTAAGAAATCATCTTAACATTTTCCATATCTATATTTACTAACTGTGCTTATATTGTATTTTTTTTAACGGCACCATTTTTTTTAACAGCACCCATCACACCTATTATCTCTACTTCTAATAGGTTTAAACAGTTTGTTTTTGTTCTGCCGTCTAGCTTAATGGCACAATTTTAGATTATTATACTTTGAGGAATTATTTTGAATTGAAAGAAGGTTAACATATCTATAACACTGGTCCAAGTTTAAGGGCATTTCAACAGACATTTAAAAACCACCTTTGTGGTTTTTAGGAGCACATTTTCTTCCCTAGCCTACAGTGTTTTATGAGAGCACAGACTATGTCATTGTATCCTTCACAGTGCCCATACCACATAGGTGCACAAATAGCTTGCTCAAAAGCTGGACCTGGTGGCACACATCAGTAATCCTAGTACTCTGGGAGGCTAAGGCAAGAGGATCCCAAGTTCCAGTCCTGCCAGGGAAATTTAGAGGGACCTTGTCTCAAAATGAAGAGTGAGGGATGCAGCTCAGTGTGAAGGTCCTGGGTTCAATCCCAGTAGTGGGGGGGAAAAAGTTTGCTCCAGTAATGAAAAGAATCAGAGACAATGAGTAAACTGAGAATGAACCCTTGGCTTCAACCTCCTGAGTGCTGAGACTTATCATATGGGTCAGCTTTGATGTAGGCTGCTTGATGCTTCCTAACACATCAGCGTGCCAAGGCAATCTACTGTATGGGCCTGTCTTTCTCTGCTGGCCCTTAGAGGTTGCTATTCACCAGGTTTCAGTCATAGGCCTTCCCTTCACTCTCAAATAGCCTCCACCTGGGCAAAACAATCCACTCCCGATGGCCTCAGTTCCTACTGGTTAATAGCTACAAGCTGAGGTAAAAATATACAGTGAATGCTTAAAGTACAAGATGCATTACCATTTCTCCTTTCCAAACTATTTCCACTTGCTTCTAACATACTTATTCCACCACTTCCTAAAGCAATAGCGGAAGTTCTCTTTTGTGTCTTAAGGAGGTGTGATGAATGATGGTGAATGGTGCTGCCAAGTGCCACCCAACAGAAAGGCATGCTCCTACTAGATCTAGCCCAGTGTGACCTGTGCCTCTTCCTTAAAATCAGTACAACCACAACAGGTAAAGGTTTTGAATGGATGCAGCACTTCAAGACAACCACTACAGCACAACCAAAGAGAAGAAAGAGGGTTTCCAGAACTGCTTCAGAAAGTGGCCCGTGTCTTCCGCTATGACCCATCTTTTAAAAAAGTGTAAACATTCACCATATTTTCTCACAATGCTTCATAAAATGTCTTCAGCTCTAACTTCTTCTCTAAGTGGAGAATGACTGTTTACTGTTAGATACTTCCATTCCTGTTTTGATGAAACACAACACAAACTCCAAACTGAAGTCATCATCATTCCCCTACTCTCTTATCAGTAATTAGCTTCAATTTTTTTTTTTTTTTTTCGGAACTGGGGATTGAACTTGCAAAGCAAGTGCTTATTCCACTGAGCTATCTCCCCAGCCCCTTCAATTTTCTAACAGTGAAATTTAGGTAAATCTCATTTCTGCTTTTACCCTCCCCCCTGATCAATGGTCAATTTCTAGTGATTCTATCAAAAATGCATCTCCAACCCTTCTACTTCTTTCCTTATGATGCTTTATCTAGGCATCATCATTACTCCAGAATTACTCCCATCTTCTGACTGCCTCCAAACTAAGAGGTACGATTTGAGATATATGAAATACTGATACTGTTTCTTTGATTTCTCACTTTTTTGCCAGTTATATGCTGAGAACCATCCACAACAAGCATCTTCCTTTTCCGCTTGTTTTACACATCTAGTCCCTCTAACTGCAATCTCCACCTCCTCCACTCCAACCTGTCCCACAATATTTTAGGTCCCATCCTAAATGCTACACCTTCTGGAAAGTCCTTCTGGCTCCTCCCTGCATACTGTTATTTGTGTTTCCTACGCCTTGTATTTTCCTTGCCATAGCTATTCTCACTTTGTGTAAAGGTTTTTCTCTTCATTGTTAATTCATAAATTCCTAGTGGTTTCTACATCACTCACCACCGTATTCCCATTGCCTACTTAGTGCACTGTCTGGCATTCGGTGGGCAATTCTTTATCACAAACATAAGTGCCTCTCTTACAGCTCCAAATGTGCTCTTCAAACTGCAACTGATAGAAAAACAATCTTTCCTTAACAATTGTCTGTACTAAAAGGTTTTGTAAAGGCTGCCACAGAAGACAGAACCTGGTTGAACAATTCTGGGAGGGGCAGGTTTTATAAGCAAAGCTAGAGATTTTGAACTTTTCTATAATTGCACAGTGAATCTTCCAATGGGGGGGGATGGTATATTTCTCAAAATATCTCCCACAGCTACTGTTCTACGGAATCACAACGTAACAATAACGATTTAAGGAGGTGGCTTCATCTACTAGAACTTCCAGTAAGCTGGAAGTCATGGACAAGAACATTTCTGGGGTATCTATTTTGAAGGGTAGGCCATTTTTAGGTTCAGTAACCTATGCACACAGAAATTGAGAACTATCAGTTGAGAGTTCAACAAAGCTATTTTTACCAATAAGGAAACTGAGGCCCGGACGGGCTAAGGACCTGGCCTCCAGCCACACTGCAACTGCAAGAGCCAGCAGCTAACCACAGAGGCATGGTTGGTCCCCGCGACTTTCAGTGCAAACAGTGCCTCTGGATGTGGGGTACTCCCAATGTGGGCACCTCACATTTTACTTCTCAGCTCTATCTAGGCTCCGGTCGGAGCTTCGTGACCGCTCGCTCCCGACGCCCCAGTTCTCGGCCCCTATTATCCTCCCTCCCTATTGCTCGCTTTCTCTGTCATCCCGTGCAGCTGGAACTCGACTGGGGATGGGAGGAATAATTTCTTTCCTTCAGTCTTGCAGCGTACAAACTTTTTCACGTCAACCAACCACCAAACAGGTCAATTTTCGGGCCTCCGCCTCGGTCCCCCCGGCCGCAACTCCCCGGCCCACCGCGTCCTCCGCTGCCCTATCCGCTCGCTTCCTCGCTCGGACGGCGGGTCCCCGCTGTTCGTTTTCACCTGGGACTGCCATTGCGCTGGTAAGAGGGATCGCTGGGGCCCTTAGCTTTCGGAAATACGTTTGCTTCCCGCCGACTGCAAAAGCAACGCACACAGAGGTCTCCGAGGCCCGCACCTCCGCAGCTTTGCAACTGTAGCTGAAAGGCCTGTAAACACCGTGGAAAGCGGAACCAAAAATCAGGTGGATTCAGTTTACCCGCGAGCCCTTTTGTGGAGTACACACCGGCTGAACTATTATTGCCAGTTTCGGGGGGGTGGGTACGACCTGCCGACACGCGAAGCAGAAACCACTAAGGCTCAAGGATCGTTCCTTTTAATATTGTTACAAATTAAATTGCAGGTTACGTTAAGTTATAGGAACTTTATAATGTTTTCTCGTTCCCTGCGGGATATAGGACTCCCCGTTCTCAGGGTTAGCGGTGTTCGGGTCCGGGAGCAGCATGGCGGCGTCCGTGAGGAGATAGCTTTTGTACCCGGTAGTGTTTGCTGTGCTTGTCTTGAGCGATATCCGAGGGAAGCTGTCCCCGACTCTCAACTTGAAGAGTCGTGTACTAAGAAGTGCATAGCTTTAGCTTTAGTGACCGGCCGTCCGCCCGTACTGGGGAATAAGAAGTGGCGCCCAAACCACCGACAAGATGAGTAACATCTACATTCAGGAGCCTCCCACCAATGGGAAGGTGAGAGAGTCACCTGGGGTACCTGGGCTCCCCACGTGAGGGCTCCCCGATTAGGGAAAGGGGTGTGCTCAGGCATCTTAGGGTTGAAAAGGTCAACAAATGTTGCTATGGACCGTGTTGCATCTAACACACCGAAGTTGGCGCTTCTGAGCATACACTTGGAAGTCTTCAGGTGGAGATCTGCCTAGCAGCCTCCCCCAAACCTGTTTCCGGCCTGCACTCAACGCATGCAGACTTTTTCTAGCGTAGCTGCTTTTTGCAGTGCAATTTCGAGTATGCTTAATTTGAAGATCATTCATTCTTCATCCTCTGTGTAATCACTGAATACCGGCCAACCACCAGACATTGTACTAGGCAGTAGGAGACAGTGATCGGTGGGTAAGATCTAGTTGTTATTCTGGAAGAGGTTATAGTTTAGGTTTGGAGAAATGCACGTAAAGAAAAACCTTGTGATATAGGTGATAGGTGTACTTTTGGAGAGCACGGAGGAGTGAGCACCTGGGAATGATGGGAAAAACATTTTCTCTTTTGAGTTCGCCTAAAAGTGAATTGTGAGAGAAAGCAGGAAATGGGCAATGTTACTGCATTAGAATAGGAGCCGATTAGGAGAGTTGGTGGCCAAAGTATGACAGCTCTCATCCAAGGTGTTTGTATACAGTCTGAGGCAAAGAAATCGGTCGTGGAATAAGTGTCACTTGAATTCTTGAACTGAAACCTAGTCCATGTTATATATCAAATGTGATCAGTAAGCGTGGTGGAGGGAGTACTGGAGCAGTTAGAGAGTGTAGCTCAAGCCAGGCCTGGTGGCACAAACTTGTAATCCCACCTCTTGGGAGTCTGAGGCAGGAGGATCCTTGGGAGTTGGAAGCCAGCATGAGCTCAAGGCCAGCCTGATAATGTATGCAAATGTGTGTATATATGTATAGTAAGAGAATAAGTTACATATTTATTAATACAAATTTGTTCATGATTTTATCATAGATCTTTTATATAATCTTTTATTCTTTGAAGGCAATTTGAAAGCAAAAAAAAAAGTATTAATCCCAAGAAAATATATTTGGTAGGTATCTTGGACAGATCAATTATTTGTTGTTTGAAACTAAACATTATAGATGAGCATTCCTATCTTACCATCCACTCCTACCAAACCACATTCCACTAACTCAAAATACCTACTTCCTTGTATTTCCAAATGTCTTGAGGGTAGTGTCAATCCCAGATGATAAGTATTAGTAGAGATTAAAGAGTGTTGATTCTCCAAGTCAGGACCCTCACACTTACTGTTCCCTTTCAGATGTACTGTTTTACTTCCTCAGATGTGAAGAGGGCTTTCTTACCACTTTCTGTCAAGTAGCCACAATCGTACTTTGCGTCCTAGTATTTCCTGGTCCTTTCAGCCCTTGTTTATTGCATCTTCTCTTTCTTTTCTTCTTCTTGAATACAAACATAAGGACAGAGACAAATATCTAGAAGGGTGTTTTAACACATAGTAGGAAGAGTTCAAATACATACTTAAAGAATAGTGGGTAAATGAATTAGTATTTTATTTCTCTTAGCTTCTGAAAAGTATTAAGCATCAGTGAGTTTAAAGTTATGCTGCAGCCACTGACCTAAAGAATATTTAATTGTCTTACTGTAGGGAATCTTCCCCACCCTTTCCTTGAGTGAAGAATTATCTTTGTATAAAATATGTAATGTTATTACAACACAAAAGTAATCATACTACTTTTTATTTTTCTTGTTATAACATTTTAAAAGGTAGAAGAAAGGGCAGGCTTCTGGTTGAACATGGCTGCTGTAGAGGATGATTTGAGACAATCATAGAGATAAAAAGCCTTAACAAGGATACATTTCTGAATGAGAAGTCATTCCTTCATCTCTTATTTATTGAGATACCATATATATATTTGGTAGGTATCTTGGACAGATCAGTTATTTGTTGTTTGAAACTAAACATTATAGATGAGCATTCCTATCTTACCATCCACTCCTACCAAACCACATCCCACTAACTCAAAATATATATATTCCAAGGATATACTGGAAGGAAAATCCAGCATTATATTCATTATCATAGTTAGTTGAGTGAAATATTTGTTGAACAAATAATTGCAGATTGTGGTGAACATTTTCTTTTGAAAATACTCCATTTCCAAAAATAGTTTGGGACTTTTATTTTTAGCATAAGAGTGACTGAGACACCAAAGCTTTGAAATTCTGCTCTAGAGAGCATGGCAAAGATTTTAGCTTGGAAGAAATTTAAAGCAGATATAGTAGCAAGTCACCCAATGAATGTTTGTTGAGTACACT